CAGGAGAAAGACCATTGGCTTACCTGAACGGTCGTTCTCTGAGCACGGCGGGAGAGTCCAAGCATGGATTAACACAGTCTATCTGCCCTAGGACTGAGTATCTTTTTTCCCCCTTTGACCACGCCTCCCTTTGCCTGTACAATCTCAGATTAGAAACGAAGAAGACTCTGTTTAGGACTGCCTCCACAGTTCCTCGAAGGCCTCACTGGAGGCAATAAACCCCTGGGCGGGTTTGGACTCTCCCGCCGTGCTCAGAGAACGACCGTTCAGGTAAGCCAATGGTCTTTCTCCTGAGCGCTGCTTGGAGAGTCCAAGCATGGATTAACACAGTCTATCTGCCCTAGGACTGAGTATCTTTTTTCCCCCTTTGACCACGCCTCCCTTTGCCTGTACAATCTCAGATTAGAAACGAAGAAGACTCTGTTTAGGACTGCCTCCACAGTTCCTCGAAGGCCTCACTGGAGGCAATAAACCCCTGGGCGGGTTTGGACTCTCCCGCCGTGCTCAGAGAACGACCGTTCAGGTAAGCCAGTGGTCTTTCTATATGCCCAAAAGCAGGATTGAATTTACTTTTTTTTTCAAAGAAAAACCACAAAGTCCAGTTGCCTCTTGGGGGAAAAAAAGCACCTTTGGGACTTTTTTTTTCTCCCAATTCACTTTTATCATGTACACCCATGTCATTTCCCAGTGGTTATAATTTCTTATTTTCAGCTGCTATTTTCTGCTAACTATATTGATAATGCAATGTGAAAACATGGAAGCTAGTTTGTAAATTATAAAAATATTTATTGGTGACGAAATACTGGTTTTCAAATCTATTTTCTTACAACCAGAAGTTGCATGATCTGTATAAAAGAAAAAAATGAAGTTAGTCAACACATTTTTATTAGATTACACTCCACAGAAACCCTTTCATTGGCTACGTTTATGGAATCAGCAAGACATTAAATAATTAAATATGTTAATATTTACTGAACATGTATATACTATATTTCATCTTTTGTATAAGAGTTCTAGAAAAATCATTCTAAAATTTAAAAAATTAACACATTAAGCTGTGCAATGAAATTCTATACTCAGAAGAGAAATCCTCACAAGCTAACATTCAGAGATATTGAATTGTTCTTTTTTGTCCTTAAACTCACCACAGATCCACACTAATTTGCACATCTTCACAACAATTTAGTTTATTATAAGATGCTTACTGATAGTATTTGCAATACAGTGGTTTGTTTTGTTTCAGCATTATCATTTGCCACTCATACATGTAAATAATTCCTGTATAGAAGAATACTTTATAACAACTATTTTTACACTGACTAAATACTCTGATGTCCTAATAATTTTCACTGATAAGTAAGGCATAGTTTTTATTTTTAATTTTAATTAATGTATTAAATTAAAAAGAAAAACAAACCAACAAAAAAAAACATGATTAGAGAAAAAAATAGGACACATAAAGACAGATGGGATTTTAAAGACAAATACAGATATTTAAATATTCAATTGTTCTTCCCAAAACAACATTTGTACAGCTGAAGGTGGTTTATTAGGAAAAGTGCTGCTAATGTAACTGATGGCCAGATTTAAGTAATTTTATCCTTCATTGTTTTCATTTCAAAGTTTTGTGTTTTTGTACAATTTTTCAAACAGAACTATTTTTCATATTAAATTCCTCCAAGCCAACAAAAGTTGTCATTTAGTTCTCCAAAGTTTTGAGATAACAACGAAGAATTAATTTCTTATGCTGTATTTATATGTGTAAGAAAACATGGAAGATAAACCAATAACAGGATTCATTATGAGTAACTGTTGGGTGTTATTTTCCAATTTCCTCAAAATGTTTCAGCCAAAAGAACATATTAATTGTCATTATTTAAAAGAAATTTTAGGCCATTAAATATCTTAATAGGTTACAGCAACTTCCATCCCAAATCATCCCCCCAGAATTTTAAGAGAATGTCATACTCAACTTAAGATCATAAATAACAATAGTAAACCCCCCTTGCTATTAAATTGATATATCTCACTCTTCAGATGTTGCAATAGTTTTAATGATGAGATCAATGCATTTTGTGAAGGAATGATTGAGACTGAGCCATCTCAAACTACAGTTGGTAGATGTGAGCATTCCTTCTACAAAATATATTCAATACCAATGGCATCTCTTTTAATTCAGTGGTGGGTTCCGGATCCCATCACAACCAGTATTGTGCGATGGGGCCAGATGTCCACCTCGGGCACACATGCGGCACACACGTGCACACAACCACTCTGCAACACCCCAGCTGCTTGGTGAGGTTGCGCAGGCGCCGCACACTGTGAGCGCATGCATAATTGGCACGTTTCCCTCAAAAACAGGTAAGGAATGCAGATGGGCGGGTGGGCCCAGGGCGAGTGGGCCCACCAAAACACTGTTCTGGTATGGTGGCCGCTGCTCCCAGCTAGCACCGGTATGCCCGTACCAGGCCGTACCGCCCGGAATCCACCACTGATTTAATTCTATAAAGCTAAGTGGCAACATTTAATTGTACTTGGCCGATACCAAAAAGCTAAGCATGGTATGACTTGATTAGTACTTGGATGGCAAACCAACAGGAATCAGGCTTGTAAGGAATACTGAGAAATTTTTTTAAAACCCCATTTGTGGGAATAGCAACCTACACCCATGTTATTTTTAAGAAAACTACATGTCTCAGGAGAAATCAAATTCAGCTTGAAGGATACTTATAGGACTATAGGATTGTTTTGTTTTCTGTTTCCTTAAAGATATTTATCCTCATGACAAAAGAAAAAAAAACACCCTACCAAGAATAAAAAGAAAAAGGAATTGTAAATCACACTGTTATTTTATTATTTTAATTCTTAATTATATAAACTGTTTCAAATTTGATATTCTTCAACCTCTATCATGCTTTTTGTACAATTTCTGGAATCCTGCCTTTTTGTTATTTAAATAAGAAAACATTTTTTGCAAGAATAAATTCTTTCCAATGTTTGCAACAATTCAAGCCTCCTACTTCATTTAATACTTACCTAATTTTAAAGTAATCGTTTTAGAAATCAGAGTAGTGTTTCAACCTACAAAAGTTAAAACAGAATTAACCTTAGAGAGCTTAAGAACTGTTATCACCTATCCACGTCACATATCATTTGATATGACCTTTGTGGACGTGACTTCTAAGTTATTTTATGATTATATTACTTAAAGAGTTAAGGTATACTGATTTTATTAGACTTAATTCTAATAAAATAGTTATGCTTATGATCCATCAGAAATTCTGTTTATTTTGATTTTTTCCATTAAATTTTAGTTGGTTTTAATACTTGATTGAATATTTAGTACTTAAAAGTACCAAATATTGACTGAAGCAGGGTTAATTGTTCTTTACATTTCCATTGTATACTAAATGCTTTTTTTATTACGATTATTATGAAAAGCAGTCAAAAGTATGCAATAATAATCAATTATTTATTACATACCTATACAATAAAGCTTTGCCTTTGTTGTTTGCTATGGAAAAATATCCACTTCTTGGTGAGAAATCCATACAGTAAGCTAAATATAACAACTTTCTCCTGAACACAGGAAAATTTGAGAATACTGTAAATGAAGGAATATGGACCTATAAAAAAGGAATATAATTGTTAAAAATAAAAAGAATGAAGGCAAACTCTGCATTATGTTTTAAACTTATTCACATTCTCAATTAGGTAGACTTCTTCATTTATTAGAAGATACTTAATTTTGATGCAGCAATAAAAAAGCTAATATTTTATTCAAGAAGAGCCAATGAAGTCTTGAGATTTTTGAGTAATATATAAAATTTCAGCCACACCCTTTTCTCACAGAACAATTGCAAGTACTAAAACTGCCTATCTTAAAAAAAATAAGAGCCAGATGATGGGCTTTTAGTATTATTTTATATCAATGAATCATTGAATTAATATTTCTATGAATAGATGCTTTATGCTGATGCTTGTAATCCTTACAAAATAAAAAAAAAGGTTTCTTATGCAAAGGGTGGAACAATTCTGAAGAAAGTTTTTATAAAGGAGGCAAGGGAGGTGTTAATTATAGGTATTTGAATTTTCGACATTTAAAATACCTATGTAATCACAACATGGTTGTTGGGTTATATAAGTATTTTGTGTAGATAAGGGGTTCTGCATTATAGTAAAATGCAATTTTCATTCCCTTGAAATTCCCTTTCATTTTTTGTTTTGGTTTGCCCTCTTCCTTGCAAATATGTGCAAAAAGGAGGAAATGAAAGTTTCAGTACAACATTAATGAAAATATACTTACCAGTTTCAATGCATCATCCATTCTATTAGAAGCCATTGCTAGTATTTCAGTGGTTGGGTTGAATACTAACGATGTAGCAGGTGTGACTAAGTTCATTATAGCCTTAAGAGGCTTAGGAAATGTTTCTCTGATACAATCATCATGGGCATACACGTTCACAACTCCAGAATTAGAACTAGAAAGAGAAATATTGATGACTTAGAAACAGGTCAGCTTCTTATTGTAGCACATACTCAAATGTTTAACAAAAACAAACTCAAAAGGTATTTCCAATTACACTCCACATAAATGAAAGGATAATTACATTACATACTAATAAAAGATGAATTTTACATCTTAGCCGTGTTTATGTGTTAACTTGGAACGTGAGGGGAATCGAATGTCAACTCATAAAGCATTTCCATGTCTATTATTGAGTTGACATGGTGAGGAAAGTGGGGGGGAGCGCATTTCACACATACCTTCAGCTAGAGTTGGATGTCCGTTTACTACAGCAGGCTTGTGAGGTGTGGAATTTTACAACCTGCTGCTGCACCTCATTATTCAGAACTCATCTATTTAGAACCTCAACGATTTTGGCTGGTCTGACTCAATAGCAATAGCAATAGCAATAGCAATAGCA